GGGTGGGGTGGGGGCAGAGTAAGGTAAGGACACTTTCTTCAAGTCCACTCTGGGTATTGGTTGGTGTGCACAAGACACATAAAGAAGGCCAACCAATGAACCAACCAACCATCTACTCACTCGACCACCAATTGACCACCAACCAATTAACCAGCCCAGTCAGCCACCCACTGACCAGCCAACCAGTAAACCACTTAACCTCCACTCATCAATCAACCAATCATCCAGTCAACTAATAACCAACCCACTAACTAACCCGCCCATTGGCACAAGGTTAATGCCAACTCATGGAGACACCATGAGTTTCCGCAGAACTATACCCCACAGCTGTTCACTGGCTGATCTCTTGGAAATAGACTGCCAGGCCTTTCTCTGGGCACCTCTGCTTGGAATAGAACTGTCTACCTTTTCTTTAGTAGCTGAGCACTTAACCATGAGCACCACCAGGAATCCCTAAAGGAAGGTGGAGACAGGGAGGCAGGAGGACTTTGCAGCAGCAGCGGCGGTGGCGCCGTGCTCTGAAACTCTCATATCCTGTTTGCCAATAAACTCAACTCATTTTCTGTCTTGTAAATGCCCTTGTTATCACATCCTATGTATCCCCCCAACTCGTCCCATTTGTTGGCAGAAGCAAATGTGCTTCTCCATGAAAGCAGGCCTTGTTCGCCCGAGTTGCTTGCTCAAGTGGGGTTGAGGAGGGAAACTTGGCTCTTTGTGTCTGCGGGAACAGCATGGCTCCTGGGCAGGCAGATGGTTCAGAGTCAAATGTCATCGTCACAATTCTAAAGCAGGGGAAATGACTCCAGGGACTCGTGACTCCCCAGCTGCGCCTTCCTGGGCCCTGGCTCCACAGAGCCTGCCTTCCCGTGTTTATAAACCCCAGGCCTCCCCTAACCGAGCCCTGAAAAAAACAAGAAACCACTCTTCAGGTGCCAGTCAAGTCTTCACACCATTGAGGAATTGTGGCCACCTGCAGACTGGCACCTCAGGTCGTTTGGTACGGAAGCAGGCCTGGGCTCCAGCCCAGTTGTAATGGTGGGGGTGGCGCAGGACCCGGCAGCGTTTCGCTCTGTTGTGTGCAGGGTCACTGTGGGCTCGGACGGACTTGAAGGCGCCTCCCAGCAGCAGAAGCAGGCAGCCTCGTCTTCTTCCTGTGGACCATCTGGTGCATTTGAACCACCCCCTTTGTGGTTAGCAGCTTGAGGGGCAGTGGACGGCTAAATGCAAGGTCAGCTGTTCAAACACACCAGCTGTTCTGCAGGACAAAGAGGAGGCTACGTGCTTCCTTAAAGACGGACAGCCGCGGAAACAGCCCGGGGAGCAGCTGTACGCAGTCCAACGGGATTGCTATGAGTCGGAATTAAGATGCAGGAGTGGGGGTTGTCGAAAAGCCTTGGGGAGAAGGTTCCCCATCCTGGGGTAAAAGCCGAGGGGTTGTCCTCCTCGTTGATGTGGCCTGACGAGGACCACTCCTCTCGGAACCCCCTCACTAGCTCCCTCTGTTCCAGTCACCCTTGCTTGTGTTTCCCCAGCCCTCACCTCCACCTTTTAAAACGTGTCTCATTTTTGTGGTGGTGCTGAGAATGTGCCCAGCAGGTTGGACAGTGACTCAACCATTTTATGTACGCCCTTCAGTGGCATGGATAGCGTTCTTCAAGGCGTGCCGTGATTCACATGCTCCCACCCCAGGGCCTTTGTCCTGGCTCTTCCCTCGACCTGGAATGCCCTTTCCCCAGGCACCCACTGGGCCATCCCCTGGCTCCCTTCCAGTCTTGGCTCAGTGCCATCTGCCACGAGGTCTGCGCTGGCCAACCCTCCCCCAGCACTTTCGATCTCCTCTGGCTTTATTACTTTTCTTCTTCTCTTAGCATTCACATATACTCGCATGTCCCACAGTCGGACTGTCTGAGCCTGCTACCACTGCCCGAACTGAGCAAAAGGAGTCACATTATACAGAGATAGCACACCGTAAAGGCGACGTGAGACGTTACCTGGCCAGCTAGCATTTCGTATAATAGGACGCCGTACGCCCACCAGTCCACCGACTTCCCATACGGCTGGTAGGCGATGATCTGTGTGAGAACAAACACAGGAGGTGCAGTTAGTGATCAACCAAATAGCCCAGTCGGAACAGGCAGGCCAAGCCGGGAGGCACTGACACACGTGTGGAGAGTTGTCCTTGATTTCTGCACCGACAATGAGACGGGCCCAGAAACATCACCCCAGGAGCCACTGCTCCGAAGCTGGCCCTTCCTCTGTGGGGACAAACACTTGGACCCGGAGGTGGAGTTCATGGTTTCGGAAAAGGCAGGGGTGATGGAGAGATGGCACAGGTGCTGCCCGGCCCGGCCCCTCTCACAGAGGCACTGTACAGGAGAAGGACACACCACCTATCCCTGCTCTGTCCTCCCGATTGTCCTTCTGTCTGAGCCACTGCTGCAGCCGCGGTGTCCATCCATCTCATCAAAGGTCCTCCTCCTGTTTGCCTCCCCTCTACTCTGTCAAGTAGGATGTCCTTTCCCGGGGACGGACCTGTCCAAAGTAGGGGGGACAAAGTCTGGCCACCCCAGGTCCTTGTGAGGATGGCGAGGCTTTGTCTCTTGGCCTCTTCAGTGAGAGGGGCTGATAACTAAGATGGTCAGACTATGTTGCAACATGTAGCTCCATGTGATGATGATGATGGTGGTGGTGATTATGATGGGGAGGAGGAGGAAGAGGAAGGTAAAAAGACAGGGGGAAAAACACATTTCAAAAATGTTTTGACAGAAATAGAAAATACAATAATCAAATGCCACATTTGGACCTTGTTTGAATCTTGATTCAAACCTGCCCATTGTAGAAAAAAGGATAACAGGCCCATTAAATTGTGGCCTGGAGATGAGGTGTTCAGAAGGGATTCCTGCCAGTTTTGCTAGGTGGGCAGGTAGGTCTATGGTGTGGTGACTTGTTAGAACGTGCTCTTTTTACTGAGGTGCTTTCTGAGGAATTTAGTGGGGGGGAGCAGTGGGGGGATGGCAAGGTCCCATGGAGTCTGGATACTAAAAGACTGACATTTGCCAGCGTGGCCTGGCTTATTAAACACTGGCCTCCTTACCTCCCCTCCCCAGGAGGCTGTGCCCATGCCTGATGCTATTGAGGTGAGGATATTCAAAAAGTTTGTGGGAAAATGGAATGAAAGGATCGTGGCCTCCCCCTCACTCTCTTGAAGCCCCCTGGCACCAGGAGAAGCTCAGCCCAATCTGCTGCCATCCAACATCCACATTTGTCTCTGGAAGGTTCTAGGGCAGCGGTTCTCAACCTTCCTCAAGCTGCGACCCTTTCATACAGTTCCTCATGTGGTGGTGACTCCCAACCCTAACATTATGTTCGTTGGGACTTCATCACTGTCATTTTGCTACTGTTATGAATTGGGCGACCCCTGTGAAAGGGTCGTTCGACCCCCAAAGGGGTTGTGACCCCCAGGTTGAGAACTGCTGGTCTAGGTATGGCCTGTGAATGGCGTGGTGAGAGCTCCTGGGACACGTGGACCATCTCTGCCCGCCTGCCCACCTGCCCATCTCCAGGCCTCGAACGCATCCCTGCAATTTCTCCACGAAGAACCCACAGGTGCAAGCCCCTGCCACTTGGCCGGCTGTGGGCGGCCACGAGGGAGCACGTTTGGATCGGGCAGCTCGGCATACACTCCCTTGAGGAGAAAATGGGAACCGCAGGGACTTACAGGGAGGTTTGCCTGTCTTTGCAAGCAGGCATTTGTTCTTTCCTTCATGTCCTGTCCTTAAGCAAACAGAAACACTTAGAGACTCATACGAAGAAATGCATTAAAAAGAAAACCCAGAGCTGGTCCCCAGTTTAGTGCCAAGAGGTGATTGATGCTAGGACTTTGGGACGAGGCACCCAGGTTCCCAGGCAGGCAGTGATAGGGCCTACAGAGCCCCGTTTAATAACCCAGTCGTCCCCCAAAAGGCCTGCACCGCTTGAGGCCACTACCCTCTCCCAGCTTAATCAGGGTCTCCAGCACTAGTTAAGGGTGTGTATGCTTATGCACATATGTGCACATGTGCATATATATATATACATATACACATATGTGCACATGCATGTACACACACACACACACACACACACACACACACACTCGAAGAGGCTTCAAACCATTTGTGAAAAGTCATGCAAAGATAATGGAAAGTTTCCATTTTTGAAGTCCCCTCACAGTCACATATATACATGCAGACACTACAATTATTTCCCAGAAGAAGAAACAGAGGCAAGGAAAGGTAAGAAACCTGCCTGCCTGTGTCCCACTTTGGAACCTGCCCCTTGGAACGGGCATAGTGCGTGCAGGAGCCCTGCTGGCCCAGTGGGTTGAGTGTTGAGCTGTTAACACAAAGGTAGCCAGTTCAAACTCACAGGCTGCTCTGTGGAGAAAGACAAGGCAGCCTACTTCTGGAAAGATGGACAACCTTGGAAAGCCTAGGGGGCAGTTCTCCCCTGCCCTAGAGGGCCGGCGGAGTCAGAAGTGACTGAGTTGTGTAGAGGTTGGGCTGGAGTTGTCTAACGTGTGGTGAGAGTACCCTGGCTGACACGTGGTTATGGAAGGGAATCTGCTGAGACGGGATTCTGGGTCTGGCACCTCTCACCAGTCTTCCACACAGTTAGAGCACTAAACTCCTGGCTTCAACTTAATCAGAAGGAGCTCTTCATTTGAGGGTAACTGTTGAGTCTTTGCCTCGGTCAGGTGGTCAGCCAGGAGGCTCTGCTGACCTTGGTTGGGCTCTCTCACCTACCTGGGAGTCAGCTGACCAGTGACCAACTGCAATAAGTGGGCAACGTTTCAGGGTTTTCTGCTTTGCTTTGTTTCTAAGGTGGAACAGAGAACAGAGCTGCTATATCGTGTCAACAGAGAATAACTGAAATACCTTCCCACCTACAAGAATTTGCCTAGTTACAACAAACAAACAAAAACACGGAACACCGAAAGGTAATCAGGATTAGGAAAAGAGTTTAAAGTGAGCCTTTCCTGTTCTACTCCTTACTCCACGTTTAGCATTACACCATAGAGAAGCTCTGGTGGAGCCGTGGTTAAGTGCTCCACGGCTAAGATACAGGGGGTGGTTTGACCCCACAGCTGCTCTGCAGGAGAAAGATGTAATGGTTGGCGCCATAAAAACCCACCGGTTTGGAAACCTACTGGACAGTTTTAATTTTACAGGGTCGCTGTGCTTTGGAATCAACTCAATGGCACCGGGTGTGGGAACTCGTATTGAAGAAAATGCCGTCGTGCCCACCGACTGGTTTAGTGAGCAGTGACGACGTGGAGGAAAGGACACGTGCACGAGTGGGTGAAGGAGTGCGCAAATCCTTTCTCTAGGGGCACTCTCTATTTCCTGCACCTAAAACGGCGGAAGCGGTGCCAACCTGAATGAAATATGCTCGTTCTTTAGAATGGGAGCATTCATTCTGCCCACGGGCAGCTCTGGTCATCCAGGAAGGTCGGGGGCATCATGCATAACTGGACTTGATCCGAAAACTCTAGCGGGCTATGTGTATACATTCAAGACGACTATGGCTTCCACAGAATGGTAAGTTCCTTTCCTTAACTGTTGTGGGAAATCTGACTTGAATCGAACCAAAATCCCAGGGAAGAAATGTGTGGACAAGGGCAACAGCCTTCATGAGGCTCACCTCATCTACTCTGAGACCAGAAGAACTAGGTGGTGGTCAGCTATGGGTGATGATCCTTCTGATCAGTGCCCCAATCGATGGCCCCTGACTTCCTGGACCAGAGAGCAGAGGACGCCTGGGACACTCTTTATATTTTGAACTGGACCCCTCCCCTGAGTTCGCCTTTGAACAAAAGAAAAAGACGGGTCTGCAAAATCAGAGCTCTCCCCTGTGAGTAAGGTGTCCCGTTATAAACCCATCTCTGGGAGCTTGAAAGGCCACGGTGACCTCGAAGGCAAGAGAAGAGGAGGAACAGGCAGGAAACTGGCATAGAGGAAGCAGACAACCAGAACACAATTAAAGTGAACGTTGATGCACTGTGGAGAAACGTCACCGAACGGCTCTGGGTCATTTGTGTTGAAACCATCCATCACAAACCTCATTTGCTGTGTAAACTCTCACTGAGAACCAAACCAAACATTATTCTGAAAACAAGCGTGTCTCACAAGATGGATGAGCCTAACTTTCCCCCATAAAGTGTCACAAGAGCTCATGTTTTCGCTTGGGGCTGTCAAAATGAGAGGCTAAACCAGTGGTTCTCAGCCTTCCTCATGCCTCGACCCTTCAATACAGTTCCTTATGTGGTGGTGACCCCCAATCATAAAATTGTTTTCATTGCTACTTCATCACTGTCACTTTGCTACTGTTATGAATCGTCATGTAAATATCTGATATGCAGGATGTATTTTCATTGTTACAAATTGCACATACTTAAAGCATAGTGATTCGTCACAAAACAATATGTCATTATATATTGTGAAATATTTATTTCTAATGACAAATTAAATTTTGTCTTGAAACCTGGTATAGCATAGGTAAAGTCTTCATACCGGGTACTCGTATGTGGGCATATCTGCATGTGGGTGGACCCGCCTGGAGACGGATAGAGGAGTGGAAATCTGTGTTTTCCGATGGTCTCAGGCGACCCCCATGAAAGAGTTGTTTGACACCCCCAAAAGGGTGGAGACCCATGGGTTGAGAACTGCGGATCTAGGACCAAGTGGTCAAGTTCCACAAACACCATGACAATCTCATATCCAAGAAGGGGCTTTGCAGAGCTGCACCCAAATTGGAAGATCAAAGACAAACATCCTCTGTGATGTCTGATGGGAAACGGGTTGTCTCCCAGGCAAACACTTGCAGAAGATAAAAAGATGCGACATATTGTTCTCAAGATGCTGTTGGGTAGGAATAATGTTAAAGAAGAAACCCATGGGGTGGTGGTCACCTATCAAAATGCCTCTCTAAGGAATCCAGCTCAAGCACAATAGCAAACACAAGGAAGTTAAGAAGATCCGGTTTGTACCGTCCATTTCGGAGTGCCTCTCTGGTGGTGTAGTGGGTGGTGAGT